TCCCGCAAACAGCCTCATTTGCATTCCGCCCATAGTGCAACTGGAGCCCAGCCACCTGACGGTCCGTTTAGGGGAGAGTCTACGTGTGTCCTGCCAGGCGTCCGGATACCCACAGCCACAAGTCACCTGGAGGAAAGCGTCCCACGGAAAAGCCCAGCTGTCTCCCAGAGGTCTGGTGCAGGAGGTCGGGATGGATGGAGATGCCAAGACCAGAGGGAGGTTAGTGACGGCCAGGCCTGGGGGAAAAGGAGGGTCGGCGAGTCGTGGGCCGGTCCGAGGAGGAACCGACGACGGAGGTGACCGGGAAAGCTTCGATCCTGACACGGGAAGTGGGATGCTGTTTCTCAGCAATATCACAGTGGCGCATGCCGGACGCTACGAATGCGAGGCCTGGAATCCCGGTGGAGTGGCTCGGGTGACTTTTCACCTGTCGGTGAACATGTCTTCATCTTTGTCCCGCTCGGAAATCTGGCCTCGACTGCATTCCTCGTCTTACTATCATCCTTCTTCGGTGGACGTGAGTCAGGAGCCGATTTATGAGCTTGAAAGCATGGATTTCAACGCACTGGGAACCGCGACCCAGACTGCCATCGCAGTGGGAATCTCTCTTTTGGCGTTGACGGCGTTGTTGCTTCTCTGCATGATTTACAGTCGCCACCGCCAACGGCAGAAAGAGGAAGGCGGATACGGCACCAGCAAAGAAGAAAGCATCCTCTACGTCAACGACTACTCTGACGGTCCCACCACGTTCGCTCAACTTGAAGAGTACCGAGACGAACGCGGCCACGAGATGTACGTGTTAAACCGTGCCAAACCAGTGCTGCCTGCCCCGCCGTCCTGCAGCCAACAGGGGTCGACGCTAAAGGCCGGTGAGTGCATGCTGACCCCGGGCCGGGCCGTGGGGATCGGACCCCGAAGGGCTCCTGCAGAAGGAGGCGAAGGACCGCCACTTGATCCCGAAGGGTTGTTCATGAACCAGAGCTTGCTGTTTGACACGCAGATCGCTTATGAGATCCACTGCTGAACTGGATCTCTGGATAGACTTCAAGGTTCTTGCCATCGGATGTTATCCTGCTGAAGTTCCTTTCGTTCTGAGAGCACAAATGTATTTTTTTTTTGGTGAAAAGCATTGAACGATTTTAAAGCTGTAGTGTGTAGTTTCAGTGCCACCGAATGGATTTTTGCTAAAAAAAAGTCTGAAAGTCAAGGAAGTGGTTGAGTCAGTGTTGCTACACTCTTCTAAATAAAAGTGATACCAAAGAAGGTATCACCATTTTTGGATGCCCAAAAGAACCTGTCAGTGAACAACAGTTTTATAAAATATTTATTTTCTTGGTGTGAAGAACATTTTAATAATCTAAAGAACCTTTTGAGCAATGGAAAGATTAAAGGTTCTTTATTGGCATCTATGGTTCCATTAAGAAGCTTTAACTATCATGGAACATATTCATTCCACAAACGGTTATTTATAGCGAAAAAAAAAAGTTCTTCAGAGTATTTGAATGTTCTTTACATAAAGAGAAAATTGTTCTTTTAAAAACTGATCACTGAAAGGTTGAACCCAAAACTGGTTCTTCAATTGCATTGCTACAAAAAAACACCTTTGGGAACCTTTATTTTTTAAGCATGTATATTGTGCGGCTTAAACAAGCAGAGAAATGTTACAAACATCAATGTTTACTCTCTTTGGGGAAATCAACCTACAAATGGCTAGTTATAATCATCTCTGGGATTGCACAAAGCAGCTTTTAGGGAATAGTTCATCCAAAAAGTGTTACCATTTGCATTGTTTGCATGATTGTTTTGTTCTGTAGAATCACAAATGGAGATTTTTTTTGAAAGCACTAGGATACATTTTAAGGTTATTTAAAAAAAACATTCCATTTTCCATTCTGCATATTTAACTAGTTCTCATTTGTGTTGCACAGAGGAAAAGTAAAAGCATATGGGTTTGGAAAATTATGTAATTTTTATTTTTTTGTAATTGGAATAATTTTTAAAACATGTCAAAATGCTTTTGACAGAAAAAATATTGCATTTTTCTACAGCGATAGGGGTGCTAGGGAAAAGAGAGAAAAGATAATTGTAAAGCAAGACTGCAAAAATAGATCAGGAAGAAAATGCAAGTGAGGATGCGGTGAGTGAAAAAAGTGTTTCCAAGAGTAGTCCAGTGAAATTATTCATTGGATGTAGGCTAGCATTGAAAAGTTTGAGGTCAGTAAAGACATTTATAATATTACAATAGATTTCCATTTCAGATAAATGCCGTTCTTTTACATTTTCTATACTTAAAAGAATCCTGAAAAAAAATGTATCACGTTTTTCACAAAAATATGAAGTTTCACAGCTGTTTTCAACATTGATAATTTATATAAATGATTAAATACTTTCTTGACAGAAAATTAACATATTAGAATGATTTCTGAAGAATCATGTGGCACTGAAGACTGGAGAATGATGCTGAAAATTCAGCTTTGCATCACAGGAATAAATTACATTTTAAAATATATTTAAATAGCACACAGTTATTTTAAATTATAATAAAAATTCACAATATTATGTCTTTACTGTATTGTTTATAAAAATAAATACAGCCATGGTGAGCCCTATGAGACTTTCTTTAAAGGGGTCATCGGATGCCCAGTTGATATGATTCTTTAGTGTCTTAATGAAAAATCTATAACATATTTTGGTTAAAATTGATCAATGGTAATGTAAAAAACACCCTTTTTACCCTGTCAAAATTAGCTCTGTTTTCAGCCAGCTGTTTTTTAGTCCATGTCGCTTTAAATGCTAATGAGCTCTGCTGACCCCGCCCCTCTCTTCCGTGGGGTGATGAGCAGATTGTAAACTTCAGCCGCGAAACTGGCTAACTAGCACATTATTGGAATAGGCGATTTGCAAAGATTCATAAAAAACCCTTATACTCACTTCTTCTGTAGATGAAGCTGGATCACGAATGATTCGTGCGAACATAGACGCGTTTAGGCAGATCGGGATCGACGCAGTAACGTTAAATGAAAGTAACATTAATCCTCTGCGTCTTCAGCGGCTCAGATGTTGGAAGTATATGACGACTGCTTTATTCATTATTACATCCAACAACAAAACACCTCAGTCGCTTAATCGGAGACATTCTGAGCTCACAGCTCACTCAGGGCGGGTCTTAAGGTAAGACGGCCTTTTCAATCAACTATCGTGGGAGGGGCCTGTGCAGAACTATGTCATTCTGACAGGAATCTCAGAACAGCCTGATTTGAGAAAAGGGATTTTAAAGTAGGTATTCAAAAAAAAAAAAACACTGGCTGGATTTTTATCATTATAGGATGGATGTGTACACACACTTCCAACACACATTTATCTTCAAACAACTTGTAAAGTCAATTTTGCATCCGATGACCCCTTTAAAAAATAAAAAGTGTAGTTGTGAGAGCTAAACATGTTTCAACAACCTAGTATTCATCACTCACTGTGACAGATTATGGTCACTTATATTGCTGCCTCTGTTTTGGAACAACATCAAGGTGAATAAATGACTGAATTTTCATTTTTGCATGAACTGTTCCTTCATTAACGGTGCAGGTTTTTGCCAAAAGCAAATTCTTATGGAATGAGAGCTGTTACCTACACCTTTGAAAGAAGAGGTTACATGAAACTACCAAAAACTGATATTTTTTTGTCTTGTTGCTGTGAAATGAAGTGATCCAGGCTGAGGGTTTTACGTCTTGGACAGGGACTGAGGACAACAGCAAAGGACATTTGTTAGGACATCCCTGTGTCCAGCGTTATGTGCCAGGCAGTGTGAATAGCTTAATGTCTTTCTTCTTGTAAATGCTGTCTACATATTTCAAGTATCCTTTCTTTTCCAATGCATTCCTGTGTGTATTTGTGTGTGAACGGCAGGCAGCAGAAGAGAATGAAACCTGCTGTAAACAAGAACCAAAAGCGGGTGGGAGGTTTGTTCACTATCCTGGATACAAATGAAGTAGTCGCATCTATTTCCGGTCTGAAGCTCGTTTGCTCTCCTCTTGACCTCTGTTGGAATAACACTGTGAATAAACAAACAGGACTCTACATTCACAGCTAGCTTTTGTAAGTTATTAGATATGCCAGTTTCTTTCATATAACAGTATTGTTTTTGAGAGCGTGAGTTCTCTTTCCTCTTGGCTTTTTTCATCCCCAGCATTACACGGACTATTGAGTAGTGAACACATCAGGGTAAACTGTATAAAAGCATTCATTTCAGCTTGTGGGAACATCTCAAGGTGTTAAGCTTCTGCTCAACATTACAATAGTTTGTGTATTTCTGTCAAATGTCTATCAAATATCAACCTATTTTATCTGAATAAATTATGCCTTTATTTGAGATTTGCCGTGTCCAAAAAAAAAAAAAAGTGAAAGTGTGACAGTCACCAGTAAGCTGCATTTGATTCACTACAAACAGGGTTATTAAAGTTTTATAGTTTTATAATAATATTTTGAGTAATAATGTTTTAGTTTTTATATTTTTTGTTTTCATTTTAATTGAACTATTAGTCATTTTGTTGTTTGTGTCATAAGTTTAAAATGTCTGTCTAGTTTCCATTAATTGTCATTTCAGTTTTAGACTTCGTTATTTTAGTACAGAAATGTTGAGTTGGCAATAAGCTGAAGTGAAAAAAGTTAGTTTCAGTTCATTTTATTTTTTATTGCAAGGAACAGTTTGTTTTATGGTTTTAGTTACCATACACACACACAGTAATATTACCTTGAATGAGAGCCATGTAGACATTTTATATATTAACATTATATTTTAATTGCAAATCCATTAAAATATTCCTTTATGTATAGATCGAAGTACGTTTTACAACGAAACCTTACACAAACAACAATAAAAATGCTAAAACATATAACAGCTCAATAAAAAAAAAAAAAGTTCTTTATGCAAAGACAATATTGAGTAATCCAATTTCAAATCAGCATATATTGAGTAATCCAATTTCAAATCAGCATATTTTTTTTCGGGATTCTCTGAAGTGGTGTAACTAATTGCAAGCTGACCTGAACTCATGTGTCGTTCTCTGATGTGGTAAAGATGTTTCAGTTTTGCTTCTCACATCGACTAAGAATAAAAGTAGAAAAGCAGAAGAAAATGTCTCTCTACAAACATGCACACTATTAAATAGGTGAACATTTTACAGATGTGGTTAAGAGTAAAACACAACCATTACCCTGCATGCATACAACACTTAAGCTCCTCTTTTTCTTTCTCACATGAAATCTTTTGCGGCTTTACAAGAAACTGTGCATGATGTAAAACAGAACAATGCCATTACTTAACATTGTAATATTCATAATGTGAATGGCCAGTGATAATCTGTTATTAGTGAAGTTTCGGAGTGCTATAGATCACTTCTCGTTCAAGAGGACGGCTCTGAGAAGGATTAAATAAAACACAAGACAGAGTGAGATTCATTTCAATAAGTCAGTCATTTAAAGCATTGAGGCCACTACATTATGCATTTCCACTGATAATTTCATGAGATCAAATACATCATATTCTTGCAAAAGGAAATAGGCTATCTTTCATGTGCATTATTAGCAATGTAATAGTACTTACAATGGAGACCTGGTTTTGAACATGGTCTTCCGCTTTCTTGAAGACCACAGTGTCGTATGCAACAGTCATTGGACCTTCTGCCTGTGAAAGGAGAGAGAAAAAACAACTTTAAAAGATTATTTAGATGGAATGAGTGTTATGCAGTGCGCATGCCTGTGAACACCAAGAACGATAACTATATTAACGTCCACACCAACGGACAATAACGTTCTGCAGTTAAGGATTGCCAGGTCTGGGGGGTGGGGGAGGAATTCACCCAATTGATAATCAAAACTAGGTCAAAACTAGCCTAATCGTATTTTTTTCCTAAGTTTTCCCCTCCGACGAATTTGTTCTTCAGAGATAGCTTTAACCCGTGGCAACAGTCTAAAAGTAGCCCAATTCCACACTAAAACTCCGGACTTGGCACTTTCAAGTCCAGTGGATTCTGATTGGTTGTTAATGTTTTTATCTTTCTGGAAGGGATTCCACTGTGTTGTTATCTTTGTAATTGGGGTGTGAATGTCTGTATTCTCATTGAATTAGAACGTGATCTTCCGTGGTGAGAACGGGTCTTTAGTCTGACGTGGACATTTTAAGGCCTATAAACACATACCACAGAACAGACGTCAGGTCTTCGTTTGGACAAAGCCCCATCTTAAAATAGGAAGAATCGTATTACAAAACCACAAGAAACCTAAAAAAAGTTCCAAAATAATATATAAATGAGAAAAAATAAGTGATATTCATGGGGAGTTTTCACCAAGGTAATATAATGCGACAGTGCAATAACTCCTGTGAAATTGGATTTGAGGCATTAGCAGTGGAATAGTGCTTTGAATTGAATATATAAGTGTTAGAACTGACTGTGTTTTTTAATAAGCCTCCAGATTACTAAAACCAGCATCAGTGACAGAAGCAGCGGCACAGCAGTATAGAGGAGGAGAAAAATCCAGTGCATCTGGTCAGTAGAGCCGCCAGGAGAGCAGTTGCTGTCCTCCGGATCATTGCTTGCTGTTTGGTTTCTGCATATGGAGCTGTTATTAAAAAATTGAATAATTTGATGGGTTTAAAATGTGAATATGAACCTAATTAAGAAAAGTTGCTTTTTAATCAGTAGGTGTCAAAATAGTTTTACCTCTTAACTAAATATGAGATTATGTGTACCCCTGATTATCTGACTTGATAAATTCAAGATGTACTTACGGAAATAGACCAGCATCATCACTTTCAGCTGAGATCAGAAGACAAAAAGCAAAAGATATTTTAAAATGAATATTTTATATATATATATATATATAAAATAACATACTGTACATATACTGTAATATATATATACACACACAGACACACAAAGAACACACTTCAAATATAAATAAATGCATTAAGTCTTTTGTAAATGAAATGCTTTTTTCGAAACATAACTGAACTTACATGTATTTCTATATTTATCGTCCTTCTGAACAAGGAGTTGAACAGGAACCTGCAGATCTCCTACAGAGCAGAAGTACCAGCCAGAATCAGTCAGTCTCAGTCCAGACATCAGCACAGTGAAGGATCTTCCCCCATCATCATCATCACTGATCTGGACTGATGAATTCTGGGATGTATCAGTCCTCCCCACTGTGTAACAGCTCTGATCTTTAAGTCTGCACCACCGTTTGAGTTTATTCTGATATCTAGAACTGTAGAGACACTGAACACTGATATCACCACCTTCATGTCCAGAGACACTGCTGCTCACCACAGACACATCAGGAGCTGAACACACACAGCAAAAACTTTGAGTTAAATATTCTATATTAAACAGAACAATATAGTGAAATTGTGAAAAATAATGTTAATGCATCACTATAACTTATTTACCTGATTTAACGGTTACATACAAATATTTTTTGTCATCTGGGTTTGATTGAGAGCCAATCTCCACAGCACACCAGTAAAATCCAGAGTCTGAGGATGTCAATTTGTTGAGCTTCACAGTAAAAACATTGAGGGCCGGATAATCGGTTATTGTCCGTTTCCCTGTAGCATTTGCACGGGCTGTAATTTGGCAAGAATGCCAAAAATACCCTTCACACCAGTATTTTGAGTTTGGTTTATACTGACTGTTATACAGACAGGGGATTGTAATGCTTCCACTTTCTCTCAGAGTTACATGATCTAATGTCTTCATGCTCAAAATTCCTGTATGTAACACACAAACACAAACACACGTTTGTTTCTGTGAATTGTGGGGACTTTCCATAGACTTCTATTACTTTTATACTGACCAAACGATATTTTATGTCCCCTAACCCTAAACCTACCCCTTACAGAAAACCTGTTTGCATTGTTACACTTTCACATAAACATCATTTACTATTTTAAACAATTTTTTAAAGAACTGCAGGCCGGTCCCCACAATGTCAAAAATGTCAGGTTTTACTATACCTGTGGGGACATCTGGCCCCCACAATGTAGCATAAACAAGTACACACAAATCCACATCACCTACATTTTCTTTTTGGGTTCCAAATAAAAAAAATTCTCAAACTAATGCTGTAAACTTTTATTTAGTATATCATTTGTGACATGTAAACGTGATTGAATCTGATATTAAGACAGACTGAAACACTAAAATAAAGGTTTATGTATCAAATATTTTCTGATATTTTTTTATTATATTGCTGTTAAATTGATAACAACAACAATAATAATTGCAGGGAAATGCACAGAACTCATTTTCCCATATAACAAGAATCAATGTTGCAAACTTGTGGTTACTGAAACATTTATAAAAGTTGTTGAAAGGTTTCTTATGCATGTGAAACTGAAGCAGATTTTCTTTGCAATTAAGTTTTACACAGCCTGATATGAACTGAATCGCATTCTAAATTGGAATATATTTAACACACAGTGCTATTTGATTACTCTGCTGTGTCCTTAGGAAGTAAATCCAACAAAATATATAACGTAACACAGGGTAGTTTATAAAAACAAAGGTAAAACCATGTTTTGAAGGTAGAACGTATTTTCTGTGTCTCACCTGCAGTGTAAAGTAAAACACCAACGAGAATCAGAGGACGAGCCATGTGATGGTCAGAGTGAGTAAAAGGCAGAACCTGAAATGAACATTTCACTTCCTTCCAGAGAGAAATAAGCAGTTCCTGTTACTGCATTCACTGATGTAATAAAAACTAAAGTCAGCAGAGACATCACAAATATAGAGCACACACACACATTGCTAGATCACATCCTTATTGCAGTAATGGTTTGACAAGAGTATTTGTCTAAACATACAAGGTATCATAACCGTACAAAACAATGGCATGACTAATTAACTTGGTGCCCATTCATAATAAAAAGGGACAGTTATTGTCATATTATAGGCCATGTTTATGTGCTTCGTGCATCAAATCTGAACTAGACAGAATATACATACATTGAGCAGCAAAAAAAATCATTGAGTGTGTCCAAATATGAGGATTAATTTTATTTATCGGAGCATTGTATTAACAGGACATGTCCTATAAAAACATGGCCAAGGTTCAAATCCAAAGCAATTCAACAAGCAAAATAAATACTGACAAATGCAAATAGGAGTCATTTGCATAAGAGACTACATACACAAAAGACTGTTCCTTTTAACTACTCAGGTTCATATAGGGGGCATGTGTTCGTTCAGGCATTAAACACTTAAAGGGTAGTTTTTCATGTTGAAGGACAAACTGAAATTTGGGACCCATCAAAATCAAAGCTTCCAGGCTTAAGAAAAGCCAAAAGACATAACTCAAAGAGATTGGCTTTTTGACTCTCAAAAGAGAATGAAAAGAAATAAAAACCCAAAAGAACAAAGGGAAGCATTTCCTACAACTTTGCCTTTCCATGCTTTTGTTTTTCAGACACACACACAATACAACTCTCTCAATAAAGCCACACTCATTCCCTCAAACGCACCACACACAGCACAAGCCAACAAAAACTCTTCACACTCTCCAAATCCTCCCCAGGGGTCAGAGGTTTTTTATAGCTTCTAATTAACCTGAAACACCTGCCTCCACTAATGAGCTCAACCCACATCATTAGCCCATTAGAGAGCTGTCCGTCCCAAACATCACCAGAAGAGGGAGACCGAGACTCTACAGAGACTGAATTCTGCAGAAATCCACTGCACCAGATGTGGAGAAATAGGCTGACATGTTTTTTGAGTGTGACCCATAATGACTAATCTTGCGAATGCAATGCCTGATCTTCACAAAACATGGCACACATGTACAACAAGCCTGAAAAACATGCCACATTTGATGAGTTTGTGCTGCTCAGTGGGCTTTGATCATATTCAATTTGTATAATATATAGTTTTTAAATATCTCAACTCTGTTTTTAAAATGTAATCATTTTGAAGAGATGGCAGTAGATGTTTGCATATAGGGCCATAGCAGGTTCAGAAGAGATAGAAATGACTTCTGCAGCAGCCTAATATGCAGAATCTGCAAAATGTTAATTATTTTACCAAAATAAGAGGGATCATACAAAATGCATGTTAATGTTTATTTCGTACTGACCTGAATAAGATATTTCACAAAAAAGACATGTACATATTAGTCCACAAAAGAAAATAGTAGCTGAATTTATAAAAGTGACCCTGTTCAAAAGTTTGCATTGATTCTTAATATTTTGTTGTTACCTGAATGATCCACAGCTGTTTTTTTTTTTGGTTTAGTGATAGTTGTTCATTCATTAGAGTCCATTGTTTGTCCTGAACAGTTTAAACTGTCCGCTCTTCTTCCGAAAAATCCTTCAGGTCCTACAAATTCTGTGGTTTTTCAGCATTTTTGTGTATTTGAACCCTTTCCAACAATGACTGTATGATTTTGAGATCCATCTTTTCACACTGAGGGCAACTGAGGGACTCATATGCAACTATTACAGATAGTTCACTGATGCTCCAGAAGCAAAAACGATGCATTAAGAGCCGGGGGGTGTAAACTTTTGTACAAATGTGTAAATGTTTCTTATTTTGCCAAAATATCTTCTTTCTTTTTTTTTTATTTAGTACTGCCTTTCAGAAGCTACAGAAGATACTTACATATTTCCCAGAAGACAAAATAAGTGAAATTTACCCTGATTTTCTAATTCAACATTTTTCAGCCCCTGGCTCTTATTGCATTGCATTTCCTTCTGGAGCATCAGTGAGCATTTTAACCTTCTGTAGTAGTTGCATATGAGTCCCTCAGTTGTCCTCAGTCACAATGTGAAAAGATGGATCTCAAAATCATACAGTGATTGTTGGAAAGGGTTCAAATACACAAAAATGCTGAAAAACCACATGATTTGTGGGACCTGGAGGATTTTTCTGAAGAACAACGGGCAGTTTAACTGTTCAGGACAAACAAGGGACTCATGAACTACTAACACAAAACAAAAAAACACAGCTGTGGATCATTCAGGTAACAACACAGTATCAAGAATCAATATGCAAACTTTTGAATGGGGTCATTTTTATAAATTCTAAATAACATTTTGCAGATTCTGCACGTTGTATGTAAACTTTTGACTTCAACTGTAAATACAAATGTATTATAAATACAGTTTCTAACAAAATTCCTTAGAATCTTTTATATAAATTCTTACCAATGAATTTTCTCCAATATTTAAACAGCATTTAAACAAATAGCTTGCATCTCTTAATTTTCTTACAACATTTCTTATGAACAAAATTGTCTTAATCTCTTATATATTTTTCTAATTGAGCATATATAAACATAACTATTTCTTACAAAATTGTCATAATTTCTTACGCATTGTGTGGCCTTCTGGAGCATCAGTAAATGTTTTCACCTTTTGTAATAGTTGTGTATAAGTCCCTCAGTTTTCCTCAGTGTGAAAAGATGGATCTCAAAACCATACAGTCACTGCTGGAAAGGGTTCAAATAAGCAGAAGATGCTGGAAAACCAAAGAATGTGCACGAGCTGGAGGATTTTTCTGAAGAACAGCAGGCAGTTGATTTCCTCAGGACAAACAAAGGACTCATGAACAACTATCACAAAATATAAAAACAATGACACGTAGTATTAAGATTCAATGGGGTCATTTTTATAAATTCAGTTATTATTTTGTCTTGTGGAGTATATGTAAACATCTGTTATGTGAAATAGCTTGTTCAGGACAGTACTAAATAAATTACAAAATACAAATACTTATAATAATTATTAGATGCAAGTATTGCTGCTTCAAGCCAAAGCACCAGACACTACCAGGACTGGTCTGGTCCAGTAGTTTTCACTGATCAAGTGCAGGTCGTGGTCTGTGGGATAATATATGACCTCTGCAGGAGGACTTGTGTGCCAGTTGAAGGGGAAGCCAAATCATCCTTGACCCAGCTTTTTGCCAATTTTATAATGCCTTTGGATGTCACCTATTATGAGATAAATAACAGCAGTTAGAATAAAATAAAATTTTCTATTGAATTTAATCATCTATAATAACATCTAATTCCTAAATTTATTATTCTAACATTTGTCCAGAACGTCCTGCTCCAGCTGTTCCTCAGCAGCGGGACAGACTTCAGAAGTTGGTGCTATAATATTATGAATCATGAAATAAGTAAAATATAAGAGTGGCTCTTAATTTATGGTCACTTTTACATCTTAAAATAAACTTCTCTAAACATTGTGAACAAATTTGTTAAAACTCTAACATATTAACTAATTTGGTTATGACTAGACAGATCATCACCTGATCAAAAACATTGTAATTAACTTCACATAGGATCCTTAAACTGTCACTAATGACAGAATTGTTTTGGGACAGTGAAATCAAATCAACCATTAATCAATACTTCATAATAACATCTATATGTGATTGTACCATCGGTCAATCTCCAACATGATCCTGTCTCACGCCGGTTCTTCTTCTCAGCCTGATCCAGGTTGTATTTTGCAGACACAGAGAGCGGGCTTCTTCCAGAAACTCTTCTTCATCTTTTTTCTCCTCTTTCTCTGGCTCCTTTCTCCCTCCATTAATCTCAGCATCAGCAGCCCCAACAGGCACCTCATCAAGCCAATGAGGATGCTGGTCCTCCGCCGTGTTGGAGGTGTATTTGAGAAGCACACAGGGCTTGTGTACAGACTCCATATCAGATACTGTTTGTGGTCCTGAACTTAAATTTCCCATGATAAGACCATTCGTCACTCGCTAATAATCGTTTTAAATAGAATTGTAATGTAATAAAGGCATGCACAGAGGTGCAGAATTTCCACAAAAACAAAAAAAGTCATATGGTCCTGTTTAATAGCAGAATTCATGTCTGTGGTTGATAAGTTATATATTTTGCTGTATCGTATATATATATATATATGTATATCGGCCAGGCTGCTTAAAGTTTTTGACACATTAAAGCGATAAAGAAACATTCATGAATGGGAAAATGTGGAAACTGTCCACCAGGTTATTGCTCTGTTGCAGGAAAGTAGATGTGATTTTGCAGGACACGTGTGTGCGAGATATATTTTTTCATTAGTTGGAAAGCATATTTGCCATCACATTATAATAAAGTTTCAAATTGCCAAAGCTTTGTTAACAGTGACCAGCTCTGTGCCTGGCACTCAGTTTGCCCAGGCGCAACATAATTTACGGGACCTATTCAGTCTAATGTACAGACTATAGGTAAAAATCACATTTTATACTAAAATAACTTTCCTTAAGTAGCGAGATTGTTTTCCTTTATTAATCTATGCAAACATTAAATGCGTTTTACTGGATTCAGAGCATCTTTAACTGTATTCATCAACTTTTCAGGAGGTTCACAGAACACAAAACATCCAAATAATTCTTGAGAGCAGAATTATGAGTATCCACCTTATTTTGAGGCTTCTTCATTTGGAAAAAAATTACTAGTACGGTCCACTAGGGGGGAAGTCGTGGCCTAATGGTTAGAGAGTCGGACTGGTAACCCAAAGGTTGTGGGTTTGAGTCTCGGACCAGCAGGGATTGTAGGTGGGGGGAGTGAATGTACAGCGCTTTCTCCTTCAATACCACGACTGAGGGGCCCTTGAGCAAGGCACCGAACCCCCAACTGCTCCCCGGGCGCCGCAGCATAACAATGGCTGCCCACTGCTCCGGGTGTGTGTTCACGGTGTGTGTGTTCACTTTGGATGGGATAAATGCAGAGCACTAATTCCGAGTATGGGCCACCATACGTGGCCACATGTCACTTTCACTTCACTTTCTTATTGTGTTCAATCATTTTTCCAACTGAGGTAAGTTGGGGGGTCTCAAAAAATATTGACAAATATTGTTATTTTGACGTGCAATTTCAGTTTTGTGTAATGTGATCATCGTGGACTATTATGTGTAAAATTGCAAAAATATCATTCATTCATGCATGACGGCGATTTAAACCTAATTCACTTCAATAAAGATAACTTTACATGCTATTCTTGTCATGAGCATCAAGGTGTGGGGGCGCTGCGGTGCAAATTCCACTCATGTTTAGTACATGTTAACTCAAAGATTCGTAGAAAAAATATAAACGCGATTCTGTGTTAAGGTAAGGCATGTTATTCGCAATTATGTGTTGTGGCTGGGTTGTTATAGGTCTGCGTGACTCTCGATGTCTTAGGCCTAATTGAACGGAGGAATTATGGTATTCTTCTGTAGCCTGACGACGAGTAACTTTAACCGTTGTTCATGTGAACTCAAAGACAGCCTGATGCTTTGTTTATAGACTATTTGTGGGTGGCTGTTTGTTGTTTCACCTATCAATTCGTGTCGATAAAGTATAATAGTGTAAATCCTGTATAGTGATTTATCCTATATAGTGCTTGCATAAAGCAAGTAGTGCATACACTTGTAGCTGTTATGTATCTTTGTAAGTCATTGTAAGCCCTCTTTTGAGGCATGCGCATGCCCCCCACCCCCCTCCGTTATAAAAAAAACACCTGTGGGCTCCCCCAAAGTCCACGGTATAGTTCGAACACTGCATAAAAATATTCTGTTTCTTCAAGTACAGTTTAAAAGCGCTGTGGCTGCAGTTTCCTGTAATGATCGTGACGAACTTCTGAGCAAAAAATAAAAGAATCTACACAGTTGAACCACAACCAAAAAAACACACAAGTACAGAAGTACCGCTTCAAATGATGACACTGACTTCTACTCCACTTGTTCACCACGTTCACCACATCAGACCGTCAGATCAGTGAAAGTCCATTGAGGGAAAGGAGTCAAATTATTATTTTTGTTCACACATACAACTCCAATAATTTTTATTTAATTTTGTATATGCTTGTGTTTGTTATAATGCAAGAAACAGAAAACAAGCAAGTAAACTGCAATAGATTTTTACAGTGAAGAAATTAAACAGACTATATAACAAAATGTAGAATTACATACTGCTAAGAAACAATCCCATTTTCCAGAGTAGGCTAGTTATGAACTGTGCATTCATTTACAATTATTTTTTAACATTTCAATAGTCTTGACCCTCACATCTGTTCATATAGGTCCTTTTGAAAATATAATATTAGGTGTTTTAATATAAAATATTAGGTTCACACTCCATGAGCAAATTAATTAAAACAAACTTAAGAAAATAAAAAAGGGTGTGATGACAGTCCTGTTGATTTTGTTTCTCTTGGTCTGTGTTCTTGTGTTGTTCTCACTGTTGCGGTCAGTGTGGACCCACGGTGCTGTATATTATGCTGTATATTACTCCACCTGCTGAAGACTTCATCGCTTCACTCCCAGGAAGATTATCAATAGTACTGTAGGTTATGTCCTTGTTGGGATCCTGCGGAGAAAGGGATTGTAATAAAAAAAATTAATAATAATTCAGCGTGACGATACGTCTTCTTTTTCCAGACTTGTCCTGGCTGGGATTTCTAAATTGCCTAAACTTTCTGGGTTTTGGCTTTGTTTTACTATTGTTTTCATACTTGCTGATGGTAATGACAGATAAGTAGTTTGACCAATAGCATGCAGGCATTGTACATTAACAACCAATCGTGGCATGCAAGAAGGTGGGATCTATAGAGCCATCAAAGCAAAGCAAATAATGTAGAGAGCACATCAATAAGAAAACAAAGCCAAAACCTGGACATTTTAGGCAATTTAGTAATCCCAGCCAGGGGTCCGTTCTTCGTACATCGCTAACTCAATTAGCTGGATTTGATTGTTGACGATTTGGCATGATCTTGGATTATCATAGCAACAGGTCTGTAAGCTTTAAGCTCAGGAGCAGGCTTATTTCATGTAAACAGGATTTGATTGCATCTTTTTAAGACTTAAAAAGATGCGATCTAATCCTGTTTACATGAAATAAGTAGCAGCCACCGATACTTTACTACAAGAGTATCCTACTGGTCCAGGGACAATAATTTAAAAGAATAATAATTAAAAAATGTATTTGAAAATAATATTAGAATGTTGTGTGGTCTATATTACTATAGGCACAGCCAGTTTTACTTATTGAAAGATTTATTCATGATGAAATAATTACTTTATAATTGTTTTGGAGTCTTACATACATGCTATACATTTAATCTGAGTCGTGCATTAATTTGAGTGGTGACAGCTATTATGGAAGTGGCTTGATTAGAATGCAGGAGATACAGATAACAAATCTGTATCAAAAATCTGCTTCAAAGATAAAATTAAATGAATTGCTAATTACAACATTGAAATAAAAATTTAAAGCCTGTACGAATACTAGAAATCATGAATATAAATAATTGGGAATCGTGTAAAAAATAAATCAACATAAAATAAAAACAGTGCGCGTTTCCTTATAAAAGTCCAGAAATTTGTCAAGTTTTTCGTCAGGTGTCTTTTTTAATTCTATGATGTTGCTGTCTTGTCGCCAGCCAATCGCTGCATTGCTGATCGCGCTTTCAAGTATCGATATATCCAACCATATCTGCCCTTTTCGCAGAACACAAGAATGCACAGTAATCTCAGCCAACTTAATCCAGATATTTTAATCAAATCTGCAAATTCGTTTTACGAACCAAATTAGCCAGAGATCAGTTATCACGATTAAAAGATCTGGCATCTTTCAAATCATCTGAGCTGTATTAAGCGAGTTACGAAGAACGGACCCCAGGACACGCCTAAGAAAAATAGAACACATGGTCACCCCAAAATAGGTATATTAATGTCTGGTCTACTTACATGTGGGATTTCATCATTTATAGTGCTGTATATCACAGGATCTTCAGGTTTAGAGTAGATCTGCATTTCATACAATCACACAAAAAACAATAAAAACAGTAACATCAAGAAACCAAAATGACTGTAGGCTACATGTCCTGGAAATATGTGAGTGGCGTAAAGTATGTGAATAGTGTTGCATTCTTGTCAGAAATATTGTATGAAATAAGTCCAATAAATTCAATTAGCAGTTTGTTGGTCATAACTTTGTATTTATATTTCTGACATGACACAGCACACATCAAAGTGTTATTTCCTATGCAACAGGCCTGCGTAAAAATAAAATGCCTCTGATGAGCTGGTTCTTTTAATAGATCATTCGTATTATCTCATTGGTGACCATTTTAAATCAGTCCGACAAATGAAGTGGATTGAATAAACATAAGCTATGACTCGCTTTCTGAACCTGTTCCTTGGTCAACACAATGAAAATTGCTACGAGAAGGAAGGCTGGACAAAAACAACAAATGCTTTTCTTTTCTCATATTTACTCTAAAACAAACTCTAGATTGATTAGAATGAAAAGGCTGTGTTATCAAAGAAGACAGAGTCTTGTATACTAAAAAATGAACTGATAGGGCACATAACATAGGGCTTAAAGACACACCTTAAGAAAAAAATTGCATTTATAATTAATAAGTCAAATGTGTGTTTTGCCCCGTTGGACCCTATATTATCATACCAACATTTTCACAACTTGCTTCTTATAAAGGACTTACCATGTCAGTGGTTCTGCTGCCGTTTCTCCGTCTGATTTGATGTTTATTTTGTTCTTCATTTTAAAAAAGAGGAAACAGTAATATCTGACATGAAAGGGGTCATATGACGTTGCTAAAAATAACATTATGTTGTGTATTTGGTGTAATGCAATGTGTTTATGCAGTTTAAGGTTAAAAAAACACATTATTTTCCACATAATGTACATTATTGTTGCTCCTCCTCTATGCCCCGCCTTTCTGAAACACGTAGATTTTTACAAAGCTCATCGGTCTGAAAAGCGAGGTGTGCTCTGATTGGCCAGCTATCCAGTGCGTTGTGATTGGCCGAATACCTCAAGCGTGTGACGGAAATGTTACGCCCCTTACCATATTGTGATGTCTTGTCCCGGCGCGATGAGACAACACCAATAAAACCCATTACAAACGAGGCATTTGTTGCATCCAGTGGGGACATAATTACTGATTATAATGACTTATACTGTCTTTTTACACGTTGCGTTGCGTATCACGCTGCGTAAACATAAAACCGTGTTTGGAGAAACGTCAAACAATAAGTGCTACTCTACACTGCTCAAAACTCGCGTTTGAATCGTCAGTGGCAAATTCTTTAAATATTAAAAACGTACTTACAGTCTGTGAGTCAGAAGCGCCAGACTGTCCTTCCAAAGTTGGAACTGCCCCACTTTACAGAAACAGCCTTTGTGCACAGACGCATTGTAGTCTACTCTACCAGGATCAGGAAACAGTCCTCCATAAAATGCGCTGCACACATCTGAATATTTGGGTTGAACTGTTCTGGAACAGTGTTGTAAATACAACTTAACTACTGATTTCTAGTTGTGTCCTCTTTTGGAAGGCCAAACAAAGTAGTTTCGCTTTCACAACGAAACACACAGTGTCACACACAGCAGGCTTGAGTGAGCGTGGGCGGGCGGGCTTGAGAACGGCACGGCCGGCGGATTCGACGAAGGAGGGGGCTTGCGGCAACCACATGTGACGACCCCGGGCTGGACTCCGCTTCGTCCACGGTGAAAGCCGATCTGGTGATCCACAGCACTAAGTTGATGTATTCCCTCAGCAACCAGCACGGATCAGCTCTAGGCATGACGAAGCGGATATCGTCCTCTTTTGGAAGGCCAAACAAAGTAGTTTCGCTTCCACAACGAAATACACAGCGTCGCCACAACATGGCGGCGGCAACAACAATACTACAGCGAGAATAAAAGTTACACGTTCTTTCTTTGCGTGAACATTTGGGCGGCGTTATGCAAATCTTCCCACATCGTGACGTAGATATGTGTTTAAACGAGGCGTTTTAGGAGGGCATGGACAAGTCTTAACTTTTATAAAGAATATCTCTTTGGGTTTGAGACTTTAGTCTTTGCAACTTTAGGGATCTTATCTATGCACGAAGAGCTTGTAACACTCCAAATAGAAAGGAAAATTTGAAATTGACCCCTTTAACTGCATATAGATAGAATCTGTGCTGTCAAAATAAATGTCAAAATAGCAGGGCATGACATAGAAATGTAGTGCAGCTCAAACTGACTGGGTCTCCGTCTCAATCTCCAGGTGAAAACACCGACCAGAATCAATAACAGCAGAAGTGCTGCTAAAGCTGGAAGCCACACAGTCAGGAGTTCATTACTGTTGGGAATAAGGAAACATTTTAAACTCATATATTCAAAGAGCTCCAAAAAAGAAACTTAATAAAAATTATTTATTCATAATAAACTCTAGGGCTTTTCACACTACATTAAACCCTGGGTTATCATTGTTACAGGCTAAACCTAGCTTTTAACCACGGGAGAAGTAGCCTACATATCACATTTTAACAGCATGTTTAACAACAGGTTTTTTTTTTTTTACCCTAAATTATAAAACAGAGAATTGAATTGTATAAGCAGTGGTTTCAGCGTTTGAGAAGAAAAAATATTGAATGTTGACAGTAAACACGTCAGTTGGAGTTAAGACAACCGTACCTTTATAATCAAATAAAGGTAATTTATAATAAAACCCATGATTCAGTTTATCCAGGGTTTAATGACTCATGATTAAATATTTGAAGCATGAAAAACCCTTCTGTTAAATGTATTTCAAAGGTTTTAAAATTAGATTAAGCGTTAATTATTTTATTTTAAACAATACACACTTTTGTGGCTTGACTTTCGTTTCATTATTATCTTTCTTGAGAATCACTGTTTCATTTCTGCAAAGACTATCACCAGAGCAACGAGGAAATGATTGTTAGTCATGAAATAAACCAGAGATAAATATAGAATAATTTCACAAAGATGATTATAAAGGAAAGCCATTTACAGAGAACAGATTAAATACTAACACTTTGTCACTGACAGTGCCTGCGGACAAAAAAAAGTAAGTTTAGTTGTGTTTTATTTCAAATGTTGTATCAAAACATTTATGATTTATTGAAACATTTGTACCTGGTTCTGCCTCAGTTACAGTGAGATAAACAGGATTCAGTGCCTCTCCAGCAGAGCAGAAGTACCAGCCAGAATCAGTCAGTCTCAGTCCAGTCATCAGCACAGTGAAGGATCTTCCCCCATCATCATCACTGATCTGGACTGATGAATTCTGGGATGTGTCAGTCCTCCCCACTGTGTAACAGCTCTGATCTTTATATCTGCACCACTGTCTGAGTTTAATCTGATATTCAGAACTGTAGAGACACTGAACACTGAAATTACCACCTTCATGTCCAGATACACTGCTGCTCACCAAAGACACATCAGGAGCTGAACACACACACACACACACACACACACACACACACACATACCCCAGTCATTTGAGATTATAAAATACATGAGGAATAAGAGAGAGAGTTTAAAATGAAGAAAATTGAACATTAGAATGAGATTAAAACAATTGCAAAATGTTTTACCAGATTGAATCTTGAGCTGCGTCTCATATATTATATTTATCGGTGGTTGTTCTCCGGTCTCCACAACACAATAATAATGTCCATTGTGTTTGTTCTGCAGGTTTCTCATAGTCACAGTAAAGAGACTCTGATCAGGATGATCAATTACTGACAGATTCTCCTCTGTTTTATTTGTGTATGTTTTAGATTTATCAATCTCTGAGAACCAGTATTTCTTCTGCTGTGTGTATTTCTTGTCATAATGACATGGGATGGTGACAGATCCTCCAGTCTGAACAGTTAATACATGTTTTGACCAACCGCTGTAGCTTACAACACCTAAACAAACAACACACAAAATGTTATGTCCAACAATAAGTCACTTCACATGAAACATAAAATCTTCAGATAAAACTAATTAAAGCATGAACAGCTGAGCATAAAATCCATCATTGCAAAATTCTAAACAGGATCTATTAGAAATGAACACAGCAATACATGTACTGTACTCTCACCTAAAATGAGCCAAAACCAGATTGAAATGTAGAATGTGTTTGTGTTCGCATATGCGGTCATTGTGTTTCTCTTCCTGTATCTTGAGTTGTTCTGTTCTTGAGTATCTTGACTTCCCTCTTCCGATAATACTATTCAACCGGATAAAAGCTGTCACTGGGGCAGGACCTTTTAAGTTTATATATAGCATTTAGAAACTTTTATGGACACTTTAGGTACTAATACCTTCAAGGTACTAATATGCATTCTTCAGGAGTATAAATAGGTACCTTTTGAAAGGATAGCCTATTGTCCCAGTAACTTTTCCCCTTTTTTCTGAATGTGGTAACGTATTAATTTGCATCTCTTTTGGATATAAAAATATATTTTACCAAACTTATACTTTTCTTCTGTTATCTTAAGTTGTTATATCTCTGAATTTAAATTAATAAAGTTTTCCATCTGTATGTTGTTGGCTAACACGAAAGTTTTGCCTTGGTTACGGTTAGTTGAACAGGAACCTGCAGATCTCCTACAGAGCAGAAGTACCAGCCAGAATCAGTCAGTCTCAGTCCAGTCGTCAGCACAGTGAAGGATCTTCTCCCATCATCATCATCCCTGATCTGGACTGATGAATTCTGGGATGTGTCAGTCCTCCCCACTGTGTAACAGCTCTGATCTTTATATCTGCACCACTGTTTGAGTTTCTTCTGATATTCAGAACTGTAGAGACACTTAACACTGATATCACCACCTTCATGTCCAGATACACTGCTGCTCACCACAGACACATCAGGAGCTGAACACACACAGCAAAAACTTTTAGTTATTGAACTTTTAAATATTCTACTGAATTATAAAACCACATTTCAATATATAATAATAATAATAATAATACCAACACCAACAACAATAATAATAATAATGCACCAGAATTTTTTTTTTTAGCTTGTTGAACAATTAAATACAAACGTTTTCTGTCATCAGGGTTTGCATGAGTGCCGATCTCCACAACACACCAGTAATATCCAGAGTTTGAGGATGTTGGATTGTTGAATTTCACAGTAAAAATATTGTTGGCTGGAGAATCAGTTATTGTCCATTTCCCTGTAGCATTTGCACGGGCTGTGGTTCGGCAAGAAATCCAATACCCTTCACACCAGTTTTTTTAGCTCACACTGATAAAAATAATATGCTAGATTTACTTAAAAATAAAGTGCATCATTTTTGCATCCCTCTTCTTAAGTACATTTCGCATGGAATTTTAAGCAGTGTTACCTAAAAATCTATAGTTGGCCATGCTTAAATGTTTGAGTATCCCAGTGAACGGTTTTGCTCAAATTTATTAGCTGGTGTAACACAATATTTTAAGTAGTTTATACTAATAAATGTAAGTTATTTCTACAATAAATGTCTTGTTCACCCCATTATAAATTTTAAGCTCATTGAGATTGATAATTTTAAGTTTTTGTATTTTAAAATACTGCTAAATGACTAAATGCAATGTAATGTAAATGTAAAATATGCAAAGAAGCAACAGCTGCTACACATGAACTCAGAAGAACAAGGTGGTTTATAAACACAAATATAAAACCTAGTTTTGAGGGTGCATTTTCTTTCTTACCTGCAGCAAACACTAAAACACCAATGAGAATCAGAGAACACTATTTTATGGATGTGAGTAAAAGACAGAAGCTGAAATTATGAAAAATGCCTCTGAGAATAATAAAAAATGAACCATTCTTGTACTCCTGATGTAATGGAAACTGATCTGTAGTCAGATGCTGTTTGTCACCCACGAGCTTGCAGTAAAACTCTAGAAACAACACTTCCTAAAATAATGTGAGGTAGGCCTATCATAAAAATGCATGAAACACATAAGCTTATAAATGCATAAAAAATGAAGGCCTTACTAAGAAGCTTAGTGACTGTTAATTTATCGTGTAAATGTTTTCAAAAAATATATTTTGCAGACATTTAGTTATGCAACTACTTTCAACTTTAAGTACAGTTCTAAATGTCTTGTGGCTGCATTGGTTCCTGTAGAGTGCTAAACTTGCATTAAACTTAAAAAAAAAAATGTGATAAAGTGCACAGTCAACCAAACAATCAACCACAAAACACTGAGTGATTAAGTCCAAAGCAACACTTCAACATTCGAGTCTCACTCGATTTACAATGTTAATATTTACAATGTTAATCGTGCGGAAATCAGCAGCAGAGTGCAGTGTGCAATACGTTTATACTGTACGGGCATGCCAGAAACACCCCGCTCTATTGGCACTGTTCAAAAGTGGTCGTGTTTAAAAAACAACTAAAGTACATTGAGACAAAGTCAATGGATTTTTTTCACAACTGCAAAATACGTTTAATACATTTCAGCTAGCTTTTTTTTTATTAACATAAACCCAGACACAAGCAAAATATTCCACAAATACACTGAAAGTGTTTTTTCTTTAACGGTGAAGAAAAGAAACAGAGACACTTAAATAGAAATTATAACTAAGCTACATACTTTTAAAATGAATCCCATTTTCTCAGGAGAGGTCTTTTAATATGTAAAACAGCAAGTAAGCTAGTTATGAACTATGAACCTCATTTACAAGAATCCTTTCCATTTTTGACCCTCACATCAGTTCAAAATAAAATATTTGCTAAACAGTTCACAACCAATGTGCAAATGAAAATCAAGAGGAAAAAGTCAACTGCATGAGTGGATTCAGTGGATTTGTGTATTTGTTAAATAAGCCAAAAATCTGCCCAAAATAATTGTGGTGTGATAACATTTTTCTGCTGCTGATTTTGTTTCTCTTGGTCAGAAGTGTCTGTTCCTGTGTTCTTCTCACTCTTGCTGTTGGTGTGGAGCCACAGTGCAGTATATTGTTCCAACTGCTGGAGGCCTCTGGAAGAGTGAGATCATTTCAAATTTATTGCCAGCAGTACCATAAACACATGATATGAAATGCCAATATTTATGTAAAACCTACTGCTTCACTCCCAGGAACGTTATCAATAGTACTGTAGGTGGTTATGTCCTTGTTGGCATCCTGTGGAGAAAGAGATTGTAAATATGCAGGATATATTCATGTTTGATATTTCATTATATCAGTGCAGGTCTGGTCTACTTACATTTGGGTTTTCATCATTTATAGTGCTGTATATCACAGGGTATTCAGGTTTAGAGTAGATCTGAATTTCACACTCAAAATAATACAGAAAAAAATATCAAGAAATTAACATATGACTCATTTAATAAAAGTTCATTTAATACAGGTTCCATGGGTAATATGAGAAGTACACTGTAACTGAAAAAAAATGAGTTTTCAGTGAGATTTTGTTTGGGCGTAGTACCAAGATTTTCCACTGGATGACCATCAAACCTAATTAGTAACCATTTAAGGGCGCCTCCATTTCCATATATGGTTTGAGTGATCTGAAACATGTTTTTCCATACTTTTCTCAATTATTATGAAGTAGACATCACATTCAGAAGTATTAAGGCCAGTATGGCAGTATTTGATTTCAATTTAATCTTTAAAAAACACGAAACATTCGACGAGAACCTTAGACCTATGTTACAGATCACGCTGCATCAAAAATGCGGAATCTATTGTTTTTTTCTTTATAGTCAAAACACTTTTAGACCTTTTTTCTTCAAAAATAGAATGGATGTTATATTTTGAACACTTGACATGAAGTTTGACATGAGTTTTTACTGATTTTTCATGATTTCATATGTGCATCACTATTTCAAAATAAAGGTCAGAACTCGCTCTCTGACTCTGATGAGTACTCTTCTTGCAAATTAATAAATTACAGTTGCTCTGTAAAATATTGGAAAAATTAGCCACCAAATTTGAAAACTAGAGTCTTTAAGCTTCCAAACTATGTATAGTTTGTCAAGATTACTTTAGGTTCAGACTAAGATATTACTGTTTAAATCATGTAATGACAAGTGGGCCGACCGGTGGGCCAGTGACAGTTAACAGGTTAAGGGCTTAAAGGACTTACTGTGCCAATGGTTCTGCTGCCGTTTCTCTCTCTGATTTGCTGTTCATCTTGCTCTTCTTCTTTTTTTTTTTTTTTTTTTAAAGAAGAAACAATAATATATGACATTAACAGAATTGTTGAGTGCTGTTGAAATTAATTATAAAATGGCATGAAATTAAATGAATATTCAAACAAATAAAAAAGGAGGTCAAACTGACTGGGTCTCCGTCTCAATCTCCAGGTGAAAACAATGAACAGAATCAATAACAGCAGAAGCGCAGCTGAAACTGGAAGCCACACATTTAGGAGTTTATTACTGTGGGAAATAAAGAAACATTTCAAAATCTTTTCATTCAAAGAGCTCCAAAAATTACATGGGACTAATTCAGATGCATAAAAGGCACCAGAGAATGAGTCATATCTGAAATAAACGTTCACCAGAACTTAATTTATCTCTGTTAATGTATTATTTAATGAATGTATTTCAGCCTAATAATTGCAGATGTTTAAGCTTTATTTATTTTTTTAAACAATACAGATGTAGTACTTTTGTGGATTGCCGGTGACTTCAGTTGTATTATTATTATTATTCTCGTGATGTCCTGATTTACTTCTGCAAAGATATAAAAAAATTTAAAAACACAGAGAAGAAAAATCAAAGGCAATGATTGTTAGAGAGTAAAGGCAAAATAAATTAATGAAATGCAACAAATACAGAATAATTCTGAGAGGAGAGACAGCAATGAGAAATGTTTGAATACTGACGTGTCTTTCTCTTTGTCTGGTTCTGCCTCAGTTACAGTGAGATGAACAGGATTCAGTGCCTCTCCAGCAGAGCAGAAGTACCAGCCAGAATCAGTCAGTCTCAGTCCAGTCATCAGCACAGTGAAGGATCTTCCCCCATCATCATCATCACTGATCTGGACTGATGAATTCTGGGATGTGTCAGTCCTCCCCACTTTGTAACAGCTCTGATCTTTATATCTGCACCACTGTTTGACTTCATTCTGATATCCAGAACTGTAGAGACACTGAACACTGATATCACCACCTTCATGTCCAGATACACTGCTGTTCACCACAGACACATCAGGAGCTGAACACACACACACACACACACAAATCATTTATTTGTGATTATAAAATACATATGTGTAAGGTCAAAGAATTTGATATTAGAATTCGATTAAAACAATTGCAAAATGTTTTACCAGATTGAATCTTGAGCTGTATCTCATATATTATATTTTTCGGTGGTTGTTCTCCATTCTCCACAACACAATAATAACGTCCATTGTGTTTGTCCTGCAGGTTTCTCATAGTCACAGTAAAGAGACTCTGATCAGGATGATCAATTACTGACAGATTCTCATCTGTTGTGTTTGTGTATGTTTTAGTTTGATCAATCTCTGAGAACCAGTATTTCTTCTGCTGTGTGTATTTCTTGTCATAATGACATGGGATGGTGACAGATCCTCCAGTCTGAACAGTTAATGTATAGTTTGACCAACCGTCGTAGCTTTTAACACCTTAACAAACAAAATGCAAACCATTATTATGTCCCGAATTAACAATGATTCACTTCTTAATTTCTTTATTCTTCACATAAAACACAATAAAAGCAACACAAACAGCTTAGCATAAAATGTGGCATTATAAACATGATCCATTAAAAAATAAACTCAGCACAACATTAAATACTCACCTAAAATGAGCCAAAACCCAATGGAAATGTAGAAGATTTTTGTCTTTGCGTGTGCGGCCATTGTGTAAGTTTCTCTTCCTGTATCTGGAGTTGTTTGACTGTGTTTGTAGTAACTGCTGCACTTCCCGTTTTCACCCTCTTATACAGTAGCACTTAAATATCTTGAGCCACCTAAGAGCTGAGGATAGACTCTAGATCAGGGTTTCTCAGCTCTGTCCACTTTCCTGCCGAGTTTAGCTCAACCCTAATCAAACACACCTTAACAAACTAATCAAGGTCTTCAGGATTACTAGGAAGTTACAGGCAGGTGAGTTTGGAGCTAAACTTTCAGGAAAGTGGACCTCAAGGGCCAGAGTTGAGAAACTCTGATTTCAAGATTTCAAGCCAAGTTATACAATAACTGATGCACGTCCACTCTCCTTTTATTTATATCACACTTTTATTTACATTTCTGTTTCACTAGTTTAGGGGTATCTGGTGGGGAGGGTGGGGGGGTGTAACATACAAAATTTTATCAGTCACAATCATTGAGATTATGTGTGATCATTTAACGTTTTGAGAAATTATTTTTATCAACTACATTAATTCTAATTGCATTTGTATCAGTTATACAAACACTGATTTTGACATATAAAAAAATATTTTACATACTCAACATTTTTCGTCTGCAGCCTGTCAGAAGTCTTGATGCTTCCGAATTCAAATTAATATCTGTTTTGCCTGTACAGCATGTTGTTGGCTATATGTCAAAGCCACTCTATGAAACTTAGTCATATGAGCAAGAGCCATTAGTAATGGGTGAAATGAACCGTTGAGTGAAATGACACTTTGAACCAACCAAACCCATTGCTCTGCAAAATGATCCACTGTTTCGAAGCGGTCGAAACACCACATGCTGGTGACGCATGCAACAAAAACTCATTCCAAACATGCATAAAACACCTTTTGACCAACCAGTTGAAATGTTCTACTGAAAGTGTAATCTATTAATTGACTAAACAGGCCAATAAGAGACTATTACTTACTCTTTACTACTCTTGCGTTCATGGCAGCTTGAGAGCATGTGCACAAAACAGGAAGTAAGTGCACAAGACTGTCCCAGGTCTGAAAACCCCCCGCCAAAGTTCAGTACCCTTAACGCACAGAAGCTAAAGGTATCCCATCATGCATCACTTTCAGGAACTCATGTGCCTTAAGATCTTGAAATGTTGAGGGAAAAAATTCCAACAGAAATCCTTCTGATGTTCATTCATGTTTATTTTGTGCTATAACTAGTAAAGAGGAAGAGATGATCGGTTCAATGCACCGCTTGAACTGAGGTGCTACAGTGATCTGTCACGACACATTAAAGAGCCACAAAATGGTATTTATTGTTTGAATTTCTTAAAAAATGAAACTGAAACTTAACAAAACTAAAACTTTGTTTCATAACAAAAGTAACCTGCTCGTCTTGTCTGCCAACAGGTTTTTCACTGTGTGAGAACATGATGTGTGATGTGAGAGTGCCATAGCTTGTCAGACATAGCAACAGTATCAAAGGTGGGTGGATCTTTGCAAAGAGTCAATTACGCACACAAAAATACAGGATACAAGGAAAAGAGATCACAGTCCTCTGCATGGTTCGACAAACAAGAAAGAAAATGAGAAACTGTGCACAGGTGGCATTAATGAGGCTCGTGAGAGTGTCCTGACTGGCATGAGATTGAGTGGGTGGAGCTGGGTGCTCACATTAGGAGCTGAACACAGACAGCAAAAACTTTGAATTAAATGAATACATTTAGTTAGATCCAAAGAATAAAACCAAATTTAATATAATGGAAATGTATGAACTGTCGCACCACAGAAACCTTCTTTACCTTGTTGAACAGTTAAATACAAAGGTTTTTTGTCATCTAAGTTTGCATGATTGCCGATCTCCACAGCACACCAGTAACACCCAGAGTCTGAAGACGTTGCATTGCTTCGAGTTTCACAGTAAAAAAAAATGGGCTGGATAATCAGTTATTGTCTGTTTCCGTGGGCTGTAATTTGGCAAAATTCCCACGTAAACCCTTTACACCAGTACTTTGGGTTTAGTTTATATTGATTATCATACAGACCGGGGATTGTAATGCTTCCTCCTTCTGCAATGGTTACATAATCTAATGTCTTCAAAGTTACTGTAGACACACAGACACCGGTTTCATTTGTTATAGGAGACATTTCATTTCATATCATTTCATAAGTAAATAATCAGTGCTCCAACCTCATGGCTGCTAAAACATTTGAAAAAGTTGTGAAATTAAAACATGTTTAATTTGTGTTTTACAGCACAACATCAATTATGTATTAAACTGAACAGCTTTAAAGGGAAAAACAGGAGTTAGACAAAATTCAATTAAATTCAAGTTTATTTGTATAGTGCGTTTCACAATACAAATCGTTGCAAAGCAGCTTTACAGAAATTGTAAGCTTCTATTTTAAAGTTTCTACATTATATTTAGTAGTAGCTTATCAGTTGTGTCAAATTATCAAAATAATGTCAAAATAATGAGAACACCCTTTATTTTAGGGGTTAATGCAATAACATTTTATTTAGATTTTCCTTGTTTTAAAATTTTGTTTAAAGGGGTGGTTGATTGTGATTTCACTTTTTTTAATTTATTTAGTGTGTAATGTTGCTGTTTGAGCATAAACAATATCTGCAAATTTAGTACACTGAAAATTCAATGCAAATGAAAATATTGTCTTTTAAAATGATGGCAGTTTAATGCCTACAGTTACAGCTGTTAGGGACTACATCAAGCTCCTTCCCGGGTTGGTGACATCACAAACCCTGAAATTTACATAAACCCCGTCCCCGGAAACATGCAACAAAGGGGCAAGGCCATGCTGCGCTGCTTTAGAGAAGAGGAAGAGTTGTTGCAATGCCATCAAAAGGGGTGCACGAAAAACTCTATTTATATATGAATCTCTCTGACAGACGATTCTGTCTTCTAACAATTCTATTATTTGTGATTATAAAATACATATGTGTAAGGTCAAAGAATTTGATATTAGAATTCGATTAAAACAATTGCAAAATGTTTTACCAGATTGAATCTTGAGCTGTATCTCATATATTATATTTTTCGGTGGTTGTTCTCCATTCTCCACAACACAATAATAACGTCCATTGTGTTTGTCCTGCAGGTTTCTCATAGTCACAGTAAAGAGACTCTGATCAGGATGATCAATTACTGACAGATTCTCATCTGTTGTGTTTGTGTATGTTTTAGTTTGATCAATCTCTGAGAACCAGTATTTCTTCTGCTGTGTGTATTTCTTGTCATAATGACATGGGATGGTGACAGATCCTCCAGTCTGAACAGTTAATGTATAGTTTGACCAACCGTCGTAGCTTTTAACACCTTAACAAACAAAATGCAAACCATTATTATGTCCCGAATTAACAATGATTCACTTCTTAATTTCTTTATTCTTCACATAAAACACAATAAAAGCAACACAAACAGCTTAGCATAAAATGTGGCATTATAAACATGATCCATTAAAAAATAAACTCAGCACAACATTAAATACTCACCTAAAATGAGCCAAAACCCAATGGAAATGTAGAAGATTTTTGTCTTTGCGTGTGCGGCCATTGTGTAAGTTTCTCTTCCTGTATCTGGAGTTGTTTGACTGTGTTTGTAGTAACTGCTGCACTTCCCGTTTTCACCCTCTTATACAGTAGCACTTAAATATCTTGAGCCACCTAAGAGCTGAGGATAGACTCTAGATCAGGGTTTCTCAGCTCTGTCCACTTTCCTGCCGAGTTTAGCTCAACCCTAATCAAACACACCTTAACAAACTAATCAAGGTCTTCAGGATTACTAGGAAGTTACAGGCAGGTGAGTTTGGAGCTAAACTTTCAGGAAAGTGGACCTCAAGGGCCAGAGTTGAGAAACTCTGATTTCAAGATTTCAAGCCAAGTTATACAATAACTGATGCACGTCCACTCTCCTTTTATTTATATCACACTTTTATTTACATTTCTGTTTCACTAGTTTAGGGGTATCTGGTGGGGAGGGTGGGGGGGTGTAACATACAAAATTTTATCAGTCACAATCATTGAGATTATGTGTGATCATTTAACGTTTTGAGAAATTATTTTTATCAACTACATTAATTCTAATTGCATTTGTATCAGTTATACAAACACTGATTTTGACATATAAAAAAATATTTTACATACTCAACATTTTTCGTCTGCAGCCTGTCAGAAGTCTTGATGCTTCCGAATTCAAATTAATATCTGTTTTGCCTGTACAGCATGTTGTTGGCTATATGTCAAAGCCACTCTATGAAACTTAGTCATATGAGCAAGAGCCATTAGTAATGGGTGAAATGAACCGTTGAGTGAAATGACACTTTGAACCAACCAAACCCATTGCTCTGCAAAATGATCCACTGTTTCGAAGCGGTCGAAACACCACATGCTGGTGACGCATGCAACAAAAACTCATTCCAAACATGCATAAAACACCTTTTGACCAACCAGTTGAAATGTTCTACTGAAAGTGTAATCTATTAATTGACTAAACAGGCCAATAAGAGACTATTACTTACTCTTTACTACTCTTGCGTTCATGGCAGCTTGAGAGCATGTGCACAAAACAGGAAGTAAGTGCACAAGACTGTCCCAGGTCTGAAAACCCCCCGCCAAAGTTCAGTACCCTTAACGCACAGAAGCTAAAGGTATCCCATCATGCATCACTTTCAGGAACTCATGTGCCTTAAGATCTTGAAATGTTGAGGGAAAAAATTCCAACAGAAATCCTTCTGATGTTCATTCATGTTTATTTTGTGCTATAACTAGTAAAGAGGAAGAGATGATCGGTTCAATGCACCGCTTGAACTGAGGTGCTACAGTGATCTGTCACGACACATTAAAGAGCCACAAAATGGTATTTATTGTTTGAATTTCTTAAAAAATGAAACTGAAACTTAACAAAACTAAAACTTTGTTTCATAACAAAAGTAACCTGCTCGTCTTGTCTGCCAACAGGTTTTTCACTGTGTGAGAACATGATGTGTGATGTGAGAGTGCCATAGCTTGTCAGACATAGCAACAGTATCAAAGGTGGGTGGATCTTTGCAAAGAGTCAATTACGCACACAAAAATACAGGATACAAGGAAAAGAGATCACAGTCCTCTGCATGGTTCGACAAACAAGAAAGAAAATGAGAAACTGTGCACAGGTGGCATTAATGAGGCTCGTGAGAGTGTCCTGACTGGCATGAGATTGAGTGGGTGGAGCTGGGTGCTCACATTAGGAGCTGAACACAGACAGCAAAAACTTTGAATTAAATGAATACATTTAGTTAGATCCAAAGAATAAAACCAAATTTAATATAATGGAAATGTATGAACTGTCGCACCACAGAAACCTTCTTTACCTTGTTGAACAGTTAAATACAAAGGTTTTTTGTCATCTAAGTTTGCATGATTTCCGATCTCCACAGCACACCAGTAACACCCAGAGTCTGAAGACGTTGCATTGCTTCGAGTTTCACAGTAAAAAAAAATGGGCTGGATAATCAGTTATTGTCTGTTTCCGTGGGCTGTAATTTGGCAAAATTCCCACGTAAACCCTTTACACCAGTACTTTGGGTTTAGTTTATATTGATTATCATACAGACCGGGGATTGTAATGCTTCCTCCTTCTGCAATGGTTACATAATCTAATGTCTTCAAAGTTACTGTAGACACACAGACACCGGTTTCATTTGTTATAGGAGACATTTCATTTCATATCATTTCATAAGTAAATAATCAGTGCTCCAACCTCATGGCTGCTAAAACATTTGAAAAAGTTGTGAAATTAAAACATGTTTAATTTGTGTTTTACAGCACAACATCAATTATGTATTAAACTGAACAGCTTTAAAGGGAAAAACAGGAGTTAGACAAAATTCAATTAAATTCAAGTTTATTTGTATAGTGCGTTTCACAATACAAATCGTTGCAAAGCAGCTTTACAGAAATTGTAAGCTTCTATTTTAAAGTTTCTACATTATATTTAGTAGTAGCTTATCAGTTGTGTCAAATTATCAAAATAATGTCAAAATAATGAGAACACCCTTTATTTTAGGGGTTAATGCAATAACATTTTATTTAGATTTTCCTTGTTTTAAAATTTTGTTTAAAGGGGTGGTTGATTGTGATTTCACTTTTTTTAATTTATTTAGTGTGTAATGTTGCTGTTTGAGCATAAACAATATCTGCAAATTTAGTACACTGAAAATTCAATGCAAATGAAAATATTGTCTTTTAAAATGATGGCAGTTTAATGCCTACAGTTACAGCTGTTAGGGACTACATCAAGCTCCTTCCCGGGTTGGTGACATCACAAACCCTGAAATTTACATAAACCCCGTCCCCGGAAACATGCAACAAAGGGGCAAGGCCATGCTGCGCTGCTTTAGAGAAGAGGAAGAGTTGTTGCAATGCCATCAAAAGGGGTGCACGAAAAACTCTATTTATATATGAATCTCTCTGACAGACGATTCTGTCTTCTAACAATTCTAATGGAATCACAAGTTTCAAAATCAATGTTCTAAAGCAGCGAATCTTAATCCTGTTCCTCGCGTCCCCCTGCTCTGCGTCTCTCTCTCTCATTCAGATCATCAGCTCGTCAGCTCCATCAATGAACTGTGTTCCAAGTATACATTTTATGTGTATAGACAGATATTATTCACATAGCTATGAGAAGCATTAAACTTGGACAAGCAGGCGATTGCCGTGGTAGTGAGCAATACTTGCTGGCAAACACTTTTTACTGTTACAAAAATGCTACAACGCAATCATGTATTCTGCTGTATTAAAGCTTTAATCAGGATAAAACAGTATATTAAAAGCTAACATAAGCAGTAGCATTTACAAATAACAGCGTATCTAAAAGTATGAGACAACAACAAATAAACATACCATTCTGAAACGTCCTGTAAGAGCCGTGCTTGCACAGGTTCTGTGCGATCCTCTACACTAATATCCTCTGTCTCAATCGGGCTCAAATTGATAAGCAATATTGACAACGCCATTGTTTACAATACAACCGGAGCGCAAGCCGCTGAATGAGGGGCGTGACGTTTAGACACGCACTAGAGACAGTTTAGCAAATCACAATGCACTGGGCCAGCTAACCAATCTGAGCCCATTGCGTATTTCTGAGGGAGGGGCTTCATAAAACCAGAAAATCATCAGAGCGTTCATAGGAGAAAGGACAGAGCGGTGTAGAATAAAGGTAAATTACAGTATGTGAAAAATAATGCGTTTTTTTTTTTAACGAAGCATTAACACATGCTCGACTGCACCCTATAAACACAATCAAGCCTAGAAAAAAA